GTGTGTGTGTGTGTGTGTGTGTGTGTGTGTGTGTGTGTGTGTGTGTGTGTGTGTGTGTGTGTGTGTGTGTGTGTGTGTGTGTGTGTGTGTGTGTGTGTGTGTGTGTGTGTGTGTGTGTGTGTGTGTGTGTGTGTGTGTGTGTGTGTGTGTGTGTGTGTGTGTGTGTGTGTGTGTGTGTGTGTGTGTGTGTGTGTGTGTGTGTGTGTGTGTGTGTGTGTGTGTGTGTGTGTGTGTGTGTGTGTGTGTGTGTGTGTGTGTGTGTGTGTGTGTGTGTGTGTGTGTGTGTGTGTGTGTGTGTGTGTGTGTGTGTGTGTGTGTGTGTGTGTGTGTGTGTGTGTGTGTGTGTGTGTGTGTGTGTGTGTGTGTGTGTGTGTGTGTGTGTGTGTGTGTGTGTGTGTGTGTGTGTGTGTGTGTGTGTGTGTGTGTGTGTGTGTGTGTGTGTGTGTGTGTGTGTGTGTGTGTGTGTGTGTGTGTGTGTGTGTGTGTGTGTGTGTGTGTGTGTGTGTGTGTGTGTGTGTGTGTGTGTGTGTGTGTGTGTGTGTGTGTGTGTGTGTGTGTGTGTGTGTGTGTGTGTGTGTGTGTGTGTGTGTGTGTGTGTGTGTGTGTGTGTGTGTGTGTGTGTGTGTGTGTGTGTGTGTGTGTGTGTGTGTGTGTGTGTGTGTGTGTGTGTGTGTGTGTGTGTGTGTGTGTGTGTGTGTGTGTGTGTGTGTGTGTGTGTGTGTGTGTGTGTGTGTGTGTGTGTGTGTGTGTGTGTGTGTGTGTGTGTGTGTGTGTGTGTGTGTGTGTGTGTGTGTGTGTGTGTGTGTGTGTGTGTGTGTGTGTGTGTGTGTGTGTGTGTGTGTGTGTGTGTGTGTGTGTGTGTGTGTGTGTGTGTGTGTGTGTGTGTGTGTGTGTGTGTGTGTGTGTGTGTGTGTGTGTGTGTGTGTGTGTGTGTGTGTGTGTGTGTGTGTGTGTGTGTGTGTGTGTGTGTGTGTGTGTGTGTGTGTGTGTGTGTGTGTGTGTGTGTGTGTGTGTGTGTGTGTGTGTGTGTGTGTGTGTGTGTGTGTGTGTGTGTGTGTGTGTGTGTGTGTGTGTGTGTGTGTGTGTGTGTGTGTGTTCAAACAAAAGTTGTTTTTAATATAATTCTCTATAATTTTTATTCTATACATAATTTCTCTAAAATGAACCGTATTCGAGATATTTGAGAAAATGTGTAAATTTCGAAATTTGAAGAAAACTCAAAAACGGATAAAGAAAAAAACATTAAATTTTAAACTTAAGTTTTATTTCGGCCTGACGAAAAATGATAAGATTTTGGACAAAGTCGGAACATCTGGGAGGGGAACTTTATGGGAGGCCGTTTTTATATTTTATGTTATTTATGTTTGGAGAAAAAAATTGTTTAAATAAAAGTTATTTCTAATATTATTATCTATATTTTTTGCTTTATGTCAAAATTTCCTGAAATGGTCCGTATTCGAGAAATTTGACAAAATGTGCAAAATTCCGATTTTTATGAAAATTGTTGAAATAAAAGTTGTTTGCGATATCGATCTCTATAATTTTTGTTTATACATGATTTTTCTAAAATGGACCGTAATGGAAAAATTGTAGGAAAAGTGCTAAATTTAAATTTTTCAGTATTTTCATTTTCAATAAATATCTATAGAAAAATGTTTCGAGGTAGATGTATGTGGAAAATGTATATATTTATTTTATCCTCTAAACATTTATGGAGGTGCTGCAATAGGTTGTACAAAATAACCGGAAAAAGCCTGTAATAACTAGATAGGAAAGTCATGTGTTGGACACATCAGATTTTTATTGACTAATTTTTTACTGCTCAGAAATATGTGATCAATGCAGCTACGTGAATTTCTTACAATTCGGGTGTAACCATTGACAAGCGAAACAAAGTCAAATTCACTAAGAATATTCAAATAATCCGAAACATTTTGATTTACTTCATCCTTTATATTAATATTTAAATCTCCCACTAGAATATGATTATCGATCTTTTTATTTCTATTTATTTGTTGTAGATAATTACTTAGACTGTCTACAAATTCTTCAGTATTTGTAGTTGGTGATCTATAAATAGCTGTGATAAGTAAATTGTTACATTTACCTAAAGTTATTTCTACTTGTAATGCTTTTACATCGCCAATATTATATATTTTATATGAAAAATCCAATGTATCTTTTAAATACACAACTGCACCATCATTCTTGTTTATATCTCCCTCATTATATAATAAGTTATATCCGTTCATATGAAACAAGGAAATATCAAGAATATTGAAAGTTTCTGTAAGTACTAGACAATGGTGTTCATGTGTTAGTTGACTCAGAATTATTTTTAGTTAATCTAGGTTTTTATTCAAACTACAAATATTTTGGTTGAAAATACTGAAACATTTACTGTTTTTGGCTTCCATATGCAAACTGTCCAATTCTGCAATTAAATTGGTTTCTACAGTTTTAATTAAATTGTGATTTACGTCTCTGATGTATTGGTCCATAGAATTTAACTTATTTTTATGTGGCTTTAAATTTTTTATTTACAAAATGGATTTTAAAGTTAATTTTAAATGAGAATACTTAAACTATATTACTTAGGTATAATGTTCAAAGTTTAAACTAAAGAGATTACGTATATTCTTACTTATTTTTCCTTTGGTTGATTGTTTGTTGAATTGGATCGTAATTTTTCTTTAATGTTTTGCTGAGCTACTGGATTTGAAGTATTGATTTTTGATCTGTTGGTGCTTGGTTTATGAGTATTGTTCTTGGATGTTACACTTGGATCCAGTTGTATCACAGATTCCAGTTTTTGTTGTTGTATGGGAGTACCAGGTAAGTTATCTTCTTTTGTTAATGTATTTTCTTCTAGCCCTTCTATAGTATATTCCTGTCCTTCTATTATTAGTCTATTTTCTCGAATAAAACAGTTATTTCCTATAGATTTCTGGCTGGCTAAGTGTTTCCTTAATATCTTGATTTCTTCACGTTGTATATTGGTTAAATCTTGTGAGATGGCTATTTTGCTACCAACCAGTTTTTTGGTGTTTCTTAAAATAGCTTGTTTTTTTAATTTTGTTACTAACTGTATTTTTAACGGACAATTTTTGTGTTTGCCAAGGCAGTAATAATTGTTGATATCCGATTCTTGCAGATTTATTGCTAATCTGTTTCTAAGTTCACTGCAGATGAATTCGATGTTTATTTCTTCGGGTTTTTTGTCTAGGCCAAATATTACTATATTATTTTGTTTTACTTCTCTCTCCAGTACTTCTAATTTGTTTTTTAAATGCGAATTTTCTTTTTCTAGACAAGTTACTTTGCTGTTTAATTCTTCAATTTTAAGCAGTAAACGTGTCTCACGAGCCAGAATCGAATTTTTAAGTTCTTCATTACCCTCTTTTATTTTTGCTATTATTATTTGAGTAATTTGTTCATTCATTGTAATCTATGAAATTTTTCTACGGCTGTTTTAACAATTTATTTATTTTTCGTGTTCGTAGTGTATGGACTGCTTTATTTTTCGACTCAGCCAAGTGGAACTGAAATGTTTATCTCTGTTTTAACTGTATTATTATCTGCCAGCATGAGTTTTTTGCAACTGTTTTAATTCAGGTGTCTGGTGTAATTTTTACGAGTGTAGTCAAACCTCGATATTTTGAATTTAGATTTTTATAGGTATCTATTCTTTAATCAGTTTAGTACTTACAGAATCGACTTTTCTTATTTATTTTCATTAATTTTCCATGTAAATTCACAAAATTCCAGGACCCACAACACATGACATTTACTACTTTAGTCGAACCATACACGAAGGTGTAAAGGAGATAAGTGTTTTATTTTTATTTATTCTAGTATAGTGGCTACCTACCTAGCAGTGACTGCCAGGAATTATTTTTACCTCCACTGAGTTCACCTTAAGTACACTCTGGTGTACCACAGGGTCGCAGGGCAAACTGCGATACCAAAACTGGCGTCTGAGCAACCCCTATTCGGGAATCACCTTCATAGCGCCACACAGACTCGCTGATTCACTGTAGGTGAACCAGAAGCTTGTCACAATATACCTGAAGTAAATAAAATCTTTATTATATTCTATATTGGAATGCCTTCTCTTGTAGTATAGAATGTATAGTTTAAACGGTACTACTGGTCAAAGGGACACTATCGAATCGCCTATATGTTCATGTGTCTGGCACATGGCCTTTATTCAATAGGCCATTAATTGCCAATATATTTATTTCTAGACAATATAGGGAAAATGGAGGCCTATTAACTGGAGTTGATGGCTAAGTGACTTCGGCCCGACTGTCTGCCATAGTAAGCTTTATATGCCGGCCTTTTAATTGTAAAAGTTAAATCACCATCATTGCAATTAAAGGGGAACAATTATTGGGCCTGTTATTCCCCTACACAAAATGTTTGTGAATATGAATCGAAAAAGTAAGTGCTAAGCAAATTTTAATAAAACAAAGTAATGTTTTCTTCATCAGGATAACGATGCAGCTTACACTGTCAAGAGGTTTTTAGATCCGTATATTAGAATATCCATCCCTATCACCGGATCTCGCTTCATGTAACTATTTTTATTATCAACACTGAAACAAACCAGATTTGACATTGATGAGCTGTCAAAGAACAAGTGGCAAAAATCATGAAGATGTTTTAAAAAAATAGCTAAAATAATTAAACACGTTATTTTGTTTTTAACACTTTATTTTTTAACGACTAAAAATGGCTAATTACATCATGTCTTAGATAAAATAATACTATTTTAATTTGTGTGTCATTAACTTACTAAAGTTTCTATTATTAACTTGACTTATTTAATGTGATATTTATTGATTTTAACTGAACTTTTCTTTTGAAAACTGTTTAGATTATGTTGTTTATTTTATTGATTAGACAAAACCCAAATTGAGATAGTATTATAATAGGCAAGTGGTTAATTTTATTATCCATTTAGTAATATCATTTCAATAATTTCAGTCTGAAATTTCCTGTATATATTTAAGCATTAATTACGAGTGAATCTGGATCTCTATCCGGTACAGCAATGCTATTCTTCCATAAAATATTCTGAATTTCAGCAAAACTCTTTCCCTTAGTTTCCGGAATCGTAAAATATATAAAAAAAAATCCAATGAAGGAACAAAAACATAAAATCCACAAGAAAAAATGCAATCCAATTAATTCAGAAAGTAATGGAAATGAAAACAACATGGCGAAGAGGAAACAACTGTTGATAATGAGAACAGTTGCAACTCCCACGGCTCTTAATTCGTTCGAAAATAGTTCAACCATCACAGCAACAGGAAGCGGTCCCATTCCACAACTGAACCCGACGTAGTACAGCATGATGCACAAAATGGGTAACCATTTGAGATTCTCGATATAAACCGCCTGGATGTGTTTCAGATAAAAGTAAAAACCCAAACAGCACAAGTTAATGATACAACAAACGTTGGAAACTAAGAGTAAAAGCCTCCTACCTAAACGATCTATAAAAAATGACGATACAAACGTTACTAGTACTTTCACTGATCCACCTAAGATACCGAATGCGTTTCCCGATAAGTAACTACCAGCTTGGTTGAAGATTGGTGCCATAAAAGCCGCCAATATGAAAACAGTTGCTGCAAGATACAAAGTCCTATAGACAGGGAAAACGCTTTCGTAGAAATCTTTGATCTGAAAATATCTAAAACGTTTGAAGTTCTATTTTTATAAACATTTTGCAACGTTTGTTTAATTTTCTCGTACTCGGGCTCGACATTTTTGGTCCGTCTCAACTTTTCTAAAGATTTTAAACAGTCCATTTCTCTTCCTTTAGAAGCTAGAAACACTGGTGATTCAGTTAAGAAATAAGAAAACAACAAAAACAGACATGGACCTAGAGTTCCCATTAAAGTTATCACTTTTACGCTAGCGATACCGGAACAGTAACCCAACAAAGCTCCCAGAGGCATGGATATCCCCAAGAAGCAACCTATTTTTCCCCTGTTGGAGTCATGCGCAATTTCAGAGTTGTATACAGGCACAGTTGCTAACACAATACTTTCACAAAATCCATTGACGAATAAACAAACGAAATAAATATAAATGTCTCTAACGAAAGCCATAGTCGTAAATGATATGACTAACCCCACGGCTACGATAACAATTGACGGCTTTCTTCCGATGTTGTCCGATATTTTTGAGGTTACGATCAGTCCCAGAACGCTCGCAATGGCGGATAGAGCTGCTAAAACTGATATTTGTATCGTTGTGACCGGTGCCGAAAGAGGGTTGATGTCTGTGTTGTTGGATTTTAATTTTGGTATTACTGATGATGACCAAGACAGAGAATAACCGTTGGTTATAAACAAGACATCCGCTGAAAAAAAAAAATGTTTTTTTAATCACAGCCATTCTACGGCAAAAATGGCTAAAGAAATATGGGTGGATGAAGAATAAAAAGTGGCACACTTGATGAAGACACTATTTATCCCTTGTATTGTCAGAGATAATATCGCACACCCAGATCAAAACAGTATTAACTCTAAAATTAAGATTTTTTACTTAATAATTTATCCGTATTCTACAAACGAAGTTGCATGAACCAACAAAACAGATTTATCAATATCTTGAATACCCTCCAAAATATGGCGCTTTAAGACCACAGTACCACCCCCAATATTCGTAACATGAACTAATTTTGATAGATGTCATTTATGTGTCATAAATTAAGAATCGTTTTGTTCAGCAGATGGAGCAATATTCCATATTTAATAGTTCTTTTGTTCAACAGATGGCGTAATAATTTTATTAGTTCTAAACGGTAACTGTTATAAAATACCTAACAAATTCATCACCCCTAGCTACTACGCGATAATAACTAAACGAGTTCTTGACCTTGACAAATATTTTCGATGAAACAGGTATAAAAATAAAACTTTTGCATTAGATTCGGCACGTCGGTATATTTATTTAGTAGCAGCGTTGGGTTTATTAGTACAATTGTACTAGATTCAGTACATTTCAACCATTCATAAATGCTAGTACCACAAAAGACAAAAGTATCTAAATCTAGTACATTTTAAATATTTCGCTGGATCTTCTAGAATAATGTATTCTATGATTTCCAATTTCTATGCTAGACAGTAGATACTTCTGATACTCCCAATGCGATACTTTATACCAGGGAGGCTATTTTCAAACTCGAGAAAAGTCATTCCTCTCAAGAGAAATGTCATAATATGTCAACGTAAAACAGTATTTTTAGGGCCCTTGGGGCCAGTGTGAACTCACAGATTGTTTCTCTCGGTTTATTTAGAGGGAATACAAATTCTCGTAAGAATTTTAATCCTCGAGGCCTTTAAAACAGCGTTTCCACATTGACGTACGACATTTCTGATGAGAATCTTGAGAGAAATGAGTGCTCCCATACTTTGAAAATAAGGGGTAAGAGATAAGGGAGTATGAGTCTTCATATAAGGGACATAAATATAAGATACGCTCCTAAGCATATGCTTAACAACCACCAGCTCGAACGCAGTTAACATCTGGCCCACTATGTGTCGCTATCATCGATATCAAACAAATAACCCAGCGGGAAATTTAAAAACCTGATAAATATCGACTACACTTTCATGTTCTAGTAAATAAATTTAAACATTGTTAATTACGGTAAATTATTTATTAAAAAGAATACTACACTTACAGTCTATTATAGATTAATTATTGTAAATCTATTGACATAACAAATATTTTTTAATTTTTACCCTTATTTTATTTGTTTTTCTATAAAAAATAAGTGTTTGTTTTTATTTTTAAATTTTATTATTTAACCATATAAAAATATATTTTTGTTTTACGTATTTTAATTTATATTTTTTTGTTTAAAATAAAGTTTATTTTGGTTTCTTTTTAAATTTTTTATTTACCAACGTAAGAATATATTTTTATTATACCCATTTTATTTATTTTTTGGTTTAAAATGAGTTTGTGTTCTCATTTGAAATTTATCGCCAAATCTAGTACGTTCTGGTACAATCACGATCTGAATTTCAGTACAAGCTGTTGCTACTAAAAACCCAACGCTGTTTAGTAGTTCATTCTTGTGTCCAGTCAACAAAGGACAACGGTCTTCGTATCATTACGTAGGGACCATTTATACTATACATAGTGTTTCGTTAAGAATGGGATATAGAACAACTGACGATTCTCTGATTAAAAATAAGACAACTAAACAAATCATGCTTAGATAAAATGTTTCTTGGTACCGAGTTAAGGTGTTAAAATCCAAAAAATATTTATTGCTTTATTTTTTTTATTACTCACAACAATTTTACTAAATTTGGCAAACGTTTTTGGTGTCAAATTATCCACCTATCAGCAAAAAAATAAGTTACCTTAATTAACTTTTCCAGTGGCGTACAGCATTCGTACGTAATACCGCATACCTCTTAAATTTTACGTCACTATCCAAAATGTTATTTGGACATAAAATTTTAAATTTTTTGATGTTTTTAAAATAAATAATGTACTCTTAGAAATTTAATAAAAAAAAAAATCGAAATTTAAAAACTACAGAATTTTCTAATATGTGCGAATATCTCAAAAACTAACTCAACTTTATTTAAAAAACATCAAAAGTGGACAGTGGACTAAAATTTAGAAGGAAAAAAGATGTTACTGGCCCATGACGTACGCCACTGGTAAAGCTTATTTAACTTATTTTTTGATGATAGATGTATTTTATTACACCAATAACGTTTGCCGAATTTAGTAAAATTAAACTGAGTAATAAAAAAATTGTAGCTATTTATAATTTTTGATTTTCAACTTTAAAACTCTGTTTTTCGGAAACAAGTAATGTTTTACCTACGGATGTTTCGTTTAATCGGCTTATTTCTAATCAATTAATCTTCAGTTGCTCCATTCTTAATGGAATACCATGTATATACCGAAAGGTCTTACAGCCAAAGAACCAAATAAAAAAAGAAAAATGTACCTTATTTACCAACAATACTTTATTTAGATCTGCATCAGTAAAAAATATTTTCAAAAAATTTAATCTCATTTATATGTAAGTTGGCGTCATCGGCATACGGAAAACCTTTTTAAGAATTAAAAAAAAAAAACTTATTTTTCATAAACAATTGCATGGTCTATTAATTTTAGAAAAAAAGTTACTTTACATAAAAAGTTATGCATGGTCTAAAACCTAAATTTCAATTATCTGATATCAAATTTTATCAGTCGTATACAGGGTTTGTCGAAAATAAAGGTATTTTATCTTGAGAGCAAAATTATATTTTTTGACAAACCTTGTAAAACCGACTGATAAAATTTGCTATCGGGTGGTTGCATTTTCTGTTAGACCATGCATAAATTTTTATGAAGAATAACTTTTTTTCGTAAAATAAATAATAAAAAAGTTTTCCATTTGTTATCAACTTACATAGACCTACTGTGTGTATGCAACTTATGACATATTGCTGAGATAATGTTTTTGTAAGAAAAAAGAAATTAATCATAAAATTTTACTTCATTTGTAGAGTCGTAATTTATGTTTTCATATTTCTACTTTTTTTGTCAATTTAGAATTCCAGTACTATTTTCAATTATAAATAAAAATTACGTATTTTAGATTAATCAATAAGAAAAATAAGGATTTTTGAAATATTAATAACTAAATACAAATTAAACAACAAATTAATAAAAAAGCATTTAAAACACGTTGACTGCCGAAGCAAATGTTGTGGTTGGGTCTTAGTAAACTACAATATCTAATAGACGCATGAATAAAATATATAAACGCGGCGCGAGATTAAATTATTACAAACATAGGTCGCGTGCATATATTGTGAATAATATATTCAGGTTGTCCCATTAGTGCGTAATTGTTCAATATTTTAATTTGTGTTGTAAACACGTAAACAATTTCTAAATAAAAGGTATATGCATTTCAAAAATAGGTATTTTAAAGATATTTTTAGACATACAGGGTTTTGAGTTTTTGTCTGACAAATAAAACGGTATATTTTTTAAAAAGAAATCCCTGTATTTTACTTCAGTTTTTGAATGCTTTGGTAATGCTGTATTTAACCCTAGAATTTTATTAACAAATATTGCAGGGTTGCCAATAAATTAATTTTTTTATGAAATTGGAGAATGATTCAGATCCCAAATTAAATTATCATTATTTAGGTAGTTTTAAAATAATTTCAATTTTTTTTAAATGTAGTAATAAGATAGTAAGCTAACGAATAGTGGTAATAGAACTGGATTATTTTGTACAGTGTGTTTTGAAAAACAAGTCTTAAATATGGCTAATTCCAAGTTAAATTTATTTAATTTTTTTCAAATGCCACACCCTGTATATTATTTAAGCATTCAATTCCTTATAAATTAACATATCCAACGATATCAATAACACATATACAGGGTGTCCCATGAGTGCGTAATTGATCGATAGCAGTTTTATAATAGGAAATACGAAAAAATTAATATAAAAGTTATATGACCATAATTAACAATTATTTATAAATATACAGGATAATCCATAAACGATTGTCTGACCAAACCTATACATTTTTAAAGTAAAACACCCTGCAGGTGCATATTTGACTGTTTTCACATCGTTTCAATAATTTCAATTTCATTCATTTGCTATGTTGTATATAGGATGTGTGAAAATGGTCACGATTTTCTTAATTTTCTAAATGGAACACATTGTATGTTATGCCACCAATTAATATAATATTCCATTGAAAAAAATTTAAGCATTTGTAACCTCGCGTGTTGACACACTCTATATAGAACATAGCAAATGAATAAAGTCAATTAAAATTATTTGACGACGTGAAAACAATCAAATATGTATAACTACCTGCAGGGTGTTTTGATTTAAAAATGTATAGGTTTGGTCAACATCTCGTTTATGGACCACCCTGTATATATAGGAATAATTTTTAATATGGTCATATAACTTTTATATTATTTTTTTTTCTTATTTCTAATAATAAAACAGCTATCGATCAATTACGCACTGATGAGACACTCTGTATATATGTTATTCTCTAACATGTTGGTATCGTTGGATATGCAAATTTATAAGGAATTGTATGCTAAAATATTATATCAAATGCTGCCTTTGAAAAATTGAGTAATTTGACTTAAAAGTAACCATTTTAAGACATGTTTCAAAACACTCGCTATAAAAGAATCCAGCACTATCACTACTATTCGTTATCTTAATGTGCTATAAGTCAGTATATTAAACAATTTTGAATTATGATAATTTAATTTAGGGTCTGCATTATTTTCTAATTTTATAAAAATTTAATTGCTTGGCAGACCTGTAATATTTTTTTAAATTATTCTAAGGTT